AATATATCTTTCATTATTACTCATCTTCAAGCAGGCGTATAACAATAATTACAACTAAAGTAAAAAAAAATCAACGTAAATATTAGTGCTGAAACCGGTATGTTGCCTAAAATATGTGAAATATTAAGACTCAGATTTGTTTCTGTATTGTTAATCTTACAGATAATGAGTCTGAGGTATTGACCTTAGGATCGATGAATATTGACTTATTACTCTTGTTAATAGGAAATTTCAACTTCCACAGCGATGGAATTTCTATCAGGTAATGTAAACTTCCATGTGTTGAAACTTTTTGATGTAGCTGAACTCATTGGTTTCTCAGTTAATGATCCACCATTTAATTTTGATATGCAATCTCACTTGCTTAATATGCATGGCAATATAATTACTATAATCTCTAACAGTGTTTGAGGGAAGTAAATATGCTTAGATAGAATGTCTGGATGATTTCATGCATCCACCATTTCCCTTAGTGCTTTTAATACACTAGGTTGACTGAGCCCATGTAAATAACCCATGCCAATATGTTTCTGGCAGAAACCAGTGGCTAGCACCAGAAGTGCTGCTAATACCTAAAACCAATATGTTTCTATACTATGGTAGGAAGGTGCAAGTAAGCTTATTTGATAATCATTATGAACTTCAAGTCATAGATACTGAAAAATACGTCGTAGGCGAGAAGTTTGCCGTCTTTGATCGTGCATTCTTTCGCTTTCCAATGCTTCCATAAGTAAAAATGCACGAGCCATCCAGGGAATCAAAATTGCTGAAAATACAAATTGGGAGCATACAATCACTTCTTAGACTCGTCAAGCTATTTTATTCCTTGTTTGAACTTGTTATACTTACCTTTCTTGTTAAAAAAATGAATAGTTTTGACAATGTTATCCAAACAAAACACTAGCAACCGACTAGTCGACTACCACAGAGCAGTTGTTAATTTGACAGTTCAAATCGCTAGTAAGTTGCTGTTGGGTTGCTGTCATTGAGTTAGGGAATACCAATTTTTTGATACTCCTAACAAAAGAATGCACTTTTCGTTCACCAGTTGCTCCATAGAGGCGCCACCGTAGCCGGTCGGCGATTGAGACGCACTGACTGATACATAATACGAAATTTGCGTTTGACAGCAACTATCGACCAACTTGAGTCGGTTGACGGTCGGTTGGAAGTTAGGTAATAAGCCTGCGGCCTGACAGCCATGCGCGCCCGACACACTTGGGAAATTCGTGCGGTCACCCGATTTTTGTACGTAAAAACGTAAGCACCTATAGAAATTCGTCACCATTTGAGAGAAGTATATGGGAAATGTGTATAAGCATTCCACATGCCCTCAAATGGTGAAGAGAGATCTTTGTCGGCCGCATGGACATCCACGATGAACAACGAAGGAAGTTACGGAAGAAGGACTGAATTGAGCGATTAGGCTGGGGATTCATTGCCAATCCCCCTTACAGCCCTAACATAGCGTTTGCGAAATTGAAGGAGTAGTTACCAAGTTTCCAAGCGGGCTGCCTTCCTAGAGGCGGGAGTGATAAAGTGGATTCCACGTCTAAAAAAATGCGTAGAAAATATGGCCTCTATGTAGAAAAATAGCTTAAAGACCAAGGTTTCCATCGATAAACTCCTTTTTTTTTACAAAAAATTTCACATATATGTCTGAAAAAAATGTGGGAACCCTATTTTTGAGACAATCCACGTATGAACGCCTGTAAAGTCTGATAACTGACTTTATACGTAGCTCGTTTTATTGGTTTTGTTGGCTAGATAGTTTATGACATTTGTTTTTGAAAGCAGTTTGGTATGGTTTTTAAGAATATGGTTCTTACAATAGATGTAAACGACAAATAAGCACGTTATGTCTCAGAGTTATCGAGATTTTCAGCATTTAAATTTTATGTTGAAAAACTCGCATTCAGATTTTGTGAAATGTTTCAGATATCAACCTTTTTGTGGCAGGTTTGCTTTAATTCAGTCAGAATTGACTAAAAACAAAGTATATACCGGGTGTTTCAAATTGAACTCAAATGTGTAAAGTCTCAAACCGTAACGTAACAGATATGAAGTCGGTTAAATTGAGGTAAAGTTGCGCATTTAGGTAACTAAGAAAATGGCACTTACATAGCTTTACAATTGTATTTTCGGAGATAGACGAAAGGAACCGAATTTTCCCAAAATCGTTTTATTCCTGACTGTGTTTGTGATGGAATTTCAAAATATAAAAAACAGTAATGGTGCTACTTTTCCTCTCTACTGTGTGACTTAATTAGAATTTCAATATGACGTTTCATCTCTCATCTTCAATCATCAACTTTATTTTTTCTCATAGACTCCATAGTGGATTTCCATAGAGTTTTTAATTCTGATCTCAAACATGTATATGGCATACATTGATTTTGCCAAACCTTAGCTATTTCAAAAGATTTTGGAGTAAGTAAAAGCCTTAACCATGTTGCAGCTTCATACATCGTTATATCTAAACCGAAGCACAGATCTTGCATTCAAATATTAATCTACGGCTTGTATCAAGAAAAAATATTGTTTATGATTGAGTTCAAGCGACGAAACGTTATATTGAAATTCTAGTTGTGCTATCTTGTAGAGGAGAAAAAGTTGCAATGTTGATGTACTTTTTATAATAAAATCCCATTTTCTTGGTTACCAAAATTTCGCATCTCTTACAGTTTATCAGATCACAAATGGTGACAGTCGAATTTGAAACACCCTGTCGTGACATAACCCGTTTGCAGCTACAGGATTAGCCTTCATTTGAGTTTCAGCTGATATGATATCGATTTCAATTTAACATACGTGTGCGCGAAGAATTTTTGTTAATGTAATTTATCCCACCTTACTGCTTCTAGAAAAGCGACAATTCATTTTTGAAAGTTACACTTTGAGGTAATTGAACAAAATTGGTGTAGGTTTTTTTAAATTTTTCTGTTAATCAGAGCCAATAGAACAATGAACATTTTCAATTGTAGTTTTTAAAGGAGAGCTTTTAACCACTAGTATTTAGTTTTCATACTTTGTTTGCAATGACTGGTTAATACCTATATGGTAATGGAACAATATTTTCAGAAATCAACAATGAAATGTCCCAAGTGCAATTTTGGATTCACAACATTGCATGCATTGCAGAACCACGTCTATAGGTGCATAGATTTAGATGACCAAATACCTTAGATGTACGTTGAAATATTTTTCTAAACAATACTGGAAAATATTGTATAGTTTTCGAATATGGTTGAAGAATTATATTTAAATAGCCATATTTTGTTAACCTCTTTTTCTCCTTGGATAGATGTTTAGTTTGACATTAAAGAATTTATTTGCAGTTTGTGAGTATTCCCAATAATGTATATTATCGGAAAAATCTGTGATGTTCATTAAGTTAACTAACATGTAGATGATTATTGTCTACAATGATATATCATTGTATTAGTATCAGAAAACAGGTAATAAACATGTTATGCTAGCAGTTTAATTTTTTCATACCCGAAAGACGTACGGAACAACAAATTATTCCACCCACACAAACATATTATTGTTTATTTGTTTGTTTAAGATTTATTTAGCATGATTGCTACAATTACGTTCTTTTAAAAAACTAACACACAGATATTTAGAAAAACAAAATTTGCATCTCTAAGAATTTTCGCTGTCCATGAAATATTCCTTTAATTTTCTTTTAAAAATCTTTAAATTACAAATAGACTTTATATCATTATTTAGTTTATTAAATTCAAGTAATCCTTTCTGAAATTTTGATTTGCTAGTTATATTACTATTGCAATTTTATAAATGAACAAGATAGTTGAACAATATAGTAAATGCGGTAGGATAATTGTATTATAACCTATTTTTTTGGAATATGTACTAAGACTATGAGAAGCCCTATAAAAGTAATTTGTAGTTTTTCACACTTTTTGAAATAATGTATTCATAGTGATCCTAAAACTTTAGTTTTCTATCAATATATGTACCTAGATATTTAATTGATTCAACATTTTTCAATTATTTCACCATTTATCCTAACTGCGATAGCATTTTCATTTAGGTATTTCCTTATTAGCATATGATTTAGAAGCATTCAGTTTAGGTTTATTTGCATTTAACCAATTTATGATTTTTAGAATTTAGCATTGTCTATATTTTTATCTGATAAGTATATAATATTAATGTATAAAATAAATAGTAGCGGACCTAGTTTACTACTTTGTGGTACACCAACAGAAATATTTTTTGAGCTTGATACTGTAGATCCAGTTTTGTTTTTTTGACGTCTGTCAATTAAGTAGTTTTGTAGAATTTTGAATACAGAATCCTTTAAATCCATAGTGATGCAATTTTATAAGTAATTTATCCCTGTCAATAGTTTCAAACGCTCTTTTGAAGTCCAAAAACACTGCCACTGTATGTTTCCTATTATCCATACATCTCCAGTCCTCTAAAACCATTTGTACTCACGTTTCAGGTTCTAGCAATTTATGGGAATTGTATTTCGATTTGTGATAGAGCTATTTTGATCGAATAAAGATATTGTCAGAAGATGCTCTAAATATTTTTTGAGCGTCAATTTTCCCATATTGCGTGCTAGCAGCCGTGGTATGAGGTATGTTAGCAAAGTAAAAATAAGTAAAGACCAAGTCGAAACCTTTCAAAGCAGTGAATTTTAGAACTTTTCTAAACCAAATTAGATAAAAACTATTGATCAAACAATAATTTCCCGTATAGATTCGGGTTAAACTGCTGCACCCGTATGGCAAAACTATTTATCATAAAAAATGCTAAACTCTAAAAAACCTTGTGTGCAGTTTTGTTAAATTGGTGGCTTGAGCGAGAAAGATACGAGATAACAAAAATCACGAGCACGTCGAAGTGCTTAAGGATATCAAATTTTCATGTCTTCACAAAACCTTCCTAAACTAAAACTGCCTGTCAAGTCCCAAACTATAAATCACATTGTAGATAAACATTACGTCCAAGTGACATTAAAAATCTAGCCTAACCAGTGGTATAACTCAAAATTGTCAAAATCGTACTACTCATCTCGAAATCTTTGTACAATAAATCCTTAGTATTCCAAAGAGACGTATCCATTATGGAGACTTATCCAGCAGCTTTGAAGCCCGATTTCATGGGGCCACCTCCACCCAAACCTTCAAGTGGCTATGGTCTATTCAGGGCTGATCATCACATGTCTCATTTCCACAACTACAGAAATGAGGAAGTATCACGAATGATGGTAAAAGAGTTAAGGAAATTTAAATCTTTTATGACGACATCTTATTAGAACATATTTTCAAGCAGCAGTGCGGTATTTTTGAAATATTTATATCGACGAAGTATCCAAAATATGTTCAGAGCGTTTTCTCTTTTTTTTATAAAAGAGAGGTGGCATTCAAGGTTCAAACGCTGGAAGGATCGTGGTTCATAAGCGCGTTTTCGGTCCTGAAAATAACTTTTGAGCGTCAATTTTCCCATATTGCAAGCTAGCAGTAGAGATACGAGGTAGCAAAGTAAAAATAAGTAAAGGCCAAGTCGAAACCTGTTAAAGCAGTGAATCTTAGAACTTTTTCATACCACATTAGATAAAACTATTCATCAAAGACAAGGCCGGATTTAGGATTTCGTCTAGGGGGTGGGGGTGCTGGCAAACGATATTTGTGGCTGGTAATTTTTAACCTCAGTACCTCAGTGGAACTTCTATAATTTATCCTATTATTGCTCCTTAAATCCATTGTGTCTACCAGTGTGTACTAAGCTTAAGGAATTGAGACTCTCTCATTAAACAAATCAAGTAATTGGTGCAAATACTGACACAATCAAGCATTTATATTATATCAGCAGGTCACCAAACCTTCCTAAACTAAAACTACCTGTCAAGTCCCAAACTATACATCACAAAGTGACATTAAAAATCTAGCCAGCGGATGGTATAGCTCATAAACTTATATAAAAAAGGAGAAACGGGCATGTTCTCAATAAAGGAGCAAGAGCAAAAATATAAGGATTGGTACCAGGCCCAAATGGATGTGCATCAAAAACACAGAAGTGAAAACATCTGGATACGGGTGAAACCTGAAGGAAAACTAGGATGGAAAGGGGGAATACAACCAATCCTTCTATTTCTGCACCTGTTCCTTTATTACGGATATGCCCATGATTGTCCTTTGTTTTTCATAATAGTGTAAGACCCCAGGGCTGCCAAACATTACTTTCTCGACGATAAAACATGCTGCATTGAATGGCGTTTCTATGTACTTTGAACGCCTGCATATCGCCTAAGTTGTGTAGTGGTCCGATTTTCTGGTACCAGGTTAAGTAAAAATAAGACTATAGTGGACCTCCGGTAATCCGACAAACATTATGCAGGACAGTGTGGGACTATCGAATTTGTCGGATTATAGAGCACGGCCTAAGACCCCCTATAGTCCGGAATTTTTTACAAAAGAGTACCTTGTAATCCGACAAATTGCATATCCAATGGTAAGATTATATATGTATGTTATGTATATGTATGTACAACTTTGAAGTACAAATCATACATAGTTTATGTATATCGAATTTAGTAAATTAAATAACAATAGAGAGCTTACGTTTTATTAAAAAATTGAGCATAAATGCACATACATATGTACCAAAATAATCAAGAATTATTAATCAAAATCATTAACGAATTTATCAAATTATCAAGCTTGGAAATATTCATCAATTTTTTTTGTTTGAGGTTGTTATAACGCGAGATCAGAGCTGGTCCCTCACTCTTCTCAAAAGTAAAAGTTCGTTGTAGGATGTACCATTCTCTTCAGCCCATTGTTAACCTAGCTCAAAGGCGTTAATTGCGTCTTGTGCTGTGACTTGTGGAGCAGTTGCAATCACGTTGTCGTTATTTTCCTGATTGTTTGTTGTATAATTAGAAACCTCTTTTATAATCTCTTCGTCAGACATTTCATGAAAAACATTTTCCTCTTTATCCATTCCACGGCACCAGATTTCCAAATCTTCCGGACTTATCTGTATTTCAGTAGCGACTTGTTCTATATCTTCCGAAGTAACACTGATTTGTGGAACGTTGCTAGGAGTGGTGACTATATCTGGCCATAACTTTTTCCAAGACGATTTAATAGTTGATGACGGTAACGTAATCCACGACTGACAAAGAGCAAAAACCAAGTCTTTCTTATTAAATTTTTTTAAAGTTTTTTCTATTGGTTGGTCTTTTGATACGGCTCTCAGAAGTAGAATTTCTTATAGTCTCGCTTGACAAACTAAATGATATTCTGGTCCATTGGTTGAATCAGTGCAGTGCAATTTGGCGGAAGAAACATCGCAGTGATGCATTTATCCTCAGTTGTTAGTTCTTCTTCAGACGGATGACCGGGAGCGTTATCAATAAGCATCAACGCTTTTTGAGGAAAATTATGATCTTTTAACCATTTTCTAACTTCAGGTACGAAGCATTCATCAAACCACTTTTTGAAAAGGTCTTTTGTCATCCTTGCATTTTTTTGTCCGTAATAGTGTACATACAAGTAAATCAATGTTTTTGAATGCCCGTGGTTTATTAGATTTCCCAATGACCATCATCTTAAGCGCGTGTGTGCCCGCAGCGTTAGCACATGGTAGTATGGTTACACGCTCTTTACTTACTTTTCGTCCAGGTACGGATTTTTCGTTACAAGAAACGAAAGTTTTGTTAGGTATCACACGCCAAAAAAGCCATAATTCGTCTGCATTGGACACCTATGACGGGTCAAGATTTAAATCGTTCACCTTTTGCAAAAATCTTAATTTAAAGGGCTCTATGCAGGTGGCATCATTAGAAAGTTTCTCTCCTGTAATAGTCATTAAACGTATGCCATGACGACTTTTAAAACGTTCTAGCCATCCATTGCTGGCCGCAAAATCATCTTTTTTTGTTATTTCCTTATAAAAAAACTTAGCTTTCATGGCCAACATGGGTCCTGAAATTGGTGCATGCCTATTGCTTTTCTGAAGAAACCACATGTACAAAGCTTCTTCCACTTCTGGATGTTCAGCTTTCTTGAGTGTCTGTCTCTTGCCTGGCCCGCAGTCAGTAGTTGACACGAACTTCTTGATCTTCTCGTGGTTTCTTTTAATGTCATAAATTGTAGATCGGCCTCGCCGTATTCACTTGCTAAACTACTGAACGTTTAATTGCGATTTAAGCGGTCTAAAATATCACGTTTTTCTTTAATTGTCAATGTTTTGTGCTTTCGTTTCTGAGTTTGTGATGACATTACTAGGTACTATACTTAATACACAATGAATAAATAGTAAACAATGAACGCACGCTAGGCCGTACCGCTATCACAAGTAGTCTAATTCAAACTAAGTAAAACAATGCTTACGCGTCGAGCACGATAGCGGTGGCGCGTACAAGTTGTAACCTGTTCAAACCTGCGTGATCTACATTAGCGAAGATTGTCAAATACGAATGTATGCAATATTCAAAGACATGTCGGATTACAGGGGGCGCCGGATTAGACAGGGGATTATCGGGGATCCACTGTACCTTTATTTCAGATGACCGATTTTCCGATTTTGATATATGTATATGTATACACTGAAAACCAAATTTGTCTGACGGCTTGAGTTCAATATGTACGAGACACAAGAGTTTATAGACACATATGTTAGAAAGAAAAAGAAGCCGGCTGGATAATGAAGCTCATCACCACGTTATCTAGCAAAGCTAACGCTGCCATCTGCCGCATTACCAATATGTTACACCAGTTCCTTGAATTAAGATGCATGTTAAAAATATGTTTATTCTCTACGACGAAATAATGGTTTTACTTTTGGCGTACACATTTTGTAATTGTGAGTTGTATCGAATTTGTATAGTATCGATTCCGGGTCGGTCCTAACTGCGCTTCAACTTAGGTTTAATGAAAGGCCAGGATCGCCACAAATTTTGCATCATTGGATCGTTTGATAACAGCGCATCGTGAATCCCAAGGCCAGGTTTCTACCTCTGATCTTCTGATCATAGATGAGAGGTTTTGGTCAGTACCCATCTAGCGCTGATTGAGGAGTGTCGTTTCGCTTCAAAACGGTTTTCACCTGCGTACACGCAGGCAGTGATAATTTGTATTGCGAAAAGTTATCGCAGCGTTGACGCAAAGTGTAACAATAACTCAGAATGTGTTGATTTTATCACCGTCGGTGGAAATCAAGGATTGATCTTGTAATATATTTGACAGTAATCTAACCTATTGTAGATCTGTGCGAACATTTTCTAGTGTAACATATTGGCAACGAGCAGATTTCACGACCTTCTGCGTCACCGTTGCTAGGCAATGTACTAATGACCACAGCTAGCTTCGATCTCTTTCTGACATATGTTGATACACACTTGAGCCGACAGACAAATTGGGGTTTCTCTGTATACATATATACTTTGTAACTGCTTACAATTTTTTATTACTAAGCTGTTTCGACTTGTAGATGCCCCACTATGAATGGGGAGGCATGGAATATCTGTACACACCCCATCCAGATGTTTCAGCATATAAAAAAGCAGAAAAGTATCTCATTCTGCCACCATCCAATTTCTCCATGATAGATAGAATCAGACATCAAGAAGTGGATGATTTCTATGTCGTATGTCAACTTTAATTTGATATGAGATCCATTTGACCGTTAAAACATTCCGTTAAAATTAATGTACGATTATACTTGCCCTTCGGAACGGATACTATATTTACTGCATTATCTAGCTGCAATATAGTAGTCCGCATGCGTATGACGTGTCTTGAAAAGTAACATTTTGTCGTTTTTTTTTTACATTTTATAGGTTTTTTGTGACATAACGTAGGTGTTTCTACAAGATGTCAACTTAGCACTAGCTGTTGTACAGTTGTTGTGAACTCGTTTTCTAGCTGAACGTTTTGCCTAAACATCATGATGCTTCAGCCATCAATTTTTGGTTCTGATGTGATGTAACATCTGTTTTAGAGATGGCATTATTGGAGGTCTAAGCGATAAATTGTATACTATAGCTGGAAGGAAACGGCAATGCATCAGTGCATAGTGAGGATTTGTTTGCTAATAATCTCCGTTGATGATAACTCCATTGGTTGCTTGTCTCAAATACACTTACTTGAGATGTATTCAAAGCTATAAATCAGTTGCTCATCCACTTTTTCTTATTCATTCTGGAAATTACACATGCAAATTTGCTGAATTTCAAATAAGAGAGATATAAGAAAAGAAAATCCCGGGTTGGTGAAGCTGTAATTAACTTTGTGTGGAATCTTATATTTTATACTTACATACTGCCACATATTGCAATTATATTCGCTCTAGACTGTCGAAGTCATATACATGCTAACTAAGTTACATACAGCGCGGGCTCTGTGGTGGTTTCCCGTAATTATCCTCAAAGTTTTTGAAAACGGGAAAAATGTAATTTATATCTTTGAACATAACCTGTTTTCAGAAGCGACAACATATGAATAACCCGTCGGGCACACCAAATAGATATACTTCATTTGCAGCATATTCAGTAATAATTTTCTCGCATATCGCTGATTTTATACACATGCAGACCATTACATTATCCAGATGGAACAATGGATACTTGAGCGTGTCGTGTCGTTGAGTAATTCCTCCATAGATGGACGCTTTTACTGACGCTCATAGCGATCATAGAGAGCAAACGTGGAATGAACTATTTGCACACTGAAAACTACCTAGTCTGCAAGATGACATTTTGTCGGATCTTTGACGTTTTTTTTTGGTTTTTTACATAATACTCCTGCCGGCAAATATTGCTGTCAGATTGCCGACCGATCGGAATCCTACTGAATAAAATGTACGGTGCCGCTACGAGTACACTTTCGTCAGCAGTTCTGCCCCGATTTTGTAGCTCGTCTGATGAAAAATTCTAAAAATATATAGCAGTACCATATGCTGCAATATATTCGTGATGGCTGAAGTATTATTGCCAACATTATAGACAAATATTGCAACAAAAATATTGCTCGTTTAGAAGCTACTTAATAGCGACATCAAATTAGATCAGTTTGCCATAAAAAATTTAATGTTAAAAATGGCATGAAGTAAGTTGACTCTGCATTTCTCACACTACGCTGGCATCAGTTCGTAAAGGATTATGTTTGGTACAAGTTAGCCCTTGTGAGAAAAAAGTAACCTACGAACATGATAAAAAATTAAATGACCTGCATGCTCCACCTGAGAGGGATTAATGCAGGCGCACATGATCATTGCGATGTCCAATATCTCATGATTGACGATATTGGCCTACACCATGCACGACCACGGAGGACAACGATTGTCCATCGAGGAACGACCTCGCACGTATCGAGTCGTCACTGGACTATTTCTAAGTTTTAAGAGTAAATGTAACCCCTAACCCCAAATTTTTTTCCGGAATTCGTCAACGTTTTTCAATTTCTTTTTGTTTTTTGCTTTTTTCTCCGCCGTATCTGGGCCGATTTTCCTTCCTTGCCTCAGTAGTAACATTGTGTAAAAATTTCATCGAAATCCGAGCGGTACGTCTCAGGTTATAGTCAGTTATAATATTAGCGGACAGACAGACAGATGAAACTGAGTTGTGTTCATGTCATATAACATCCAAAAACATATCTCATTTTCGAAAAATTTTGCGATTACGATACTTCTCCGCCAGGAGACGTGGGAAGTAAAAGCACTGAGTGGAGCTCGATTAAACTTTTCATTGGATGATAAACAATTTATTCATATGTTTTAGTCAGCTCAGATACATCGTGATCAGTACAAAGATGATTCTGGGAGATTACATCCCATGGATTACTTCAAAGTAGCCGATTATGCCTTCCAGTGTCCAAAAGACCCTACTTCGTAAGTAGTTTTTTGGTTTGGTCCATTTCTTTTTTATCCGAGCTTTCTATTAAGAACGGGAACACGTTAAAATCGATTAAAACAAGTTGTGCCTAGAATATTAACTAAATTATATTTTTATTTGATTAGTTCATGTATGCGAGTATGTATGGATTACAGGGGTGTATTAAAAATGTTCCGGACTAGCTCTGTAACTTACCAACAGATTTGAATAACTAGCGCATAGATCTGGCTGAATTTGAGCGATGGCGTATGCAATACTGACTATGAGGTTATAATTGAAATGATTAACGTATTCTCCTAGAAGATACCAAACTCTTTGCTGTATTTGGACGTTCACATACAATTCCTATGTTCTCTCTCTATTTTCCTTTTAAAAGAATTCTTTATACTTGAACATGACATCGACCTTCCTAGTAATTATTACTATTATTTCCCCTGTAATCTCCTCTTCATTGATCTTAGCAAATTGAACGCCAACGTGTTTTAAATATTGTTAAATCATAAATCAAGACAATGGAGGAACAAGTCCACCTGATTTTAAGTGACGAGGGAGAAGACTGTGAGGTCGTAGATATAGGAACTGCACATGTCATATTAAACGGTAGATTTTATTGATATATACATTGCACAAAAAACGATCGTTCTTTTTAGTTCAGATTCAAAGCAGGCAGCTAAGTATCCTTATAATATACCAGAAATACAAGTAATGCATGAACTGTCCTAATTGGAACATTTCCCCCAGTTAACTTTTTCTGCATTAACTTATTAGTATTATAATTCCTTAAAATTGATGTTAATACGCCTTGAATAGATGCCTTTGTCATTCTAAAGAATGCAAAAACGGTGATGTCGTGGACTTTGTTCATTGTCCATTCGTCTCCCCGAAAAACATCAGCCTTGAAATAAGTATCTCTGAAGGATGGTACTGTTGTAGAGTCCAGATGCAAGAGTTTCACGACTAAACCTGTCGAATGGAAAAAGAATTCGTGAAAAAGAAATAGTAAATACTCAATCATTTATAAACGAACCCGAAACACGAGGGCCAAGCACAAATTCAGATGTTTTTTATCCGCCAACTAAACTGTCGTGCTCTTTGCGCAACATGCGTCATCTAACCACTGCCTGTGTAACTTGAAACTATCATAACTTGGATGAGAGGGAGAAATTCTATTTGTCCCCGCTCCATTCACTCCCGGATCTCACAAAAATATTTTTAGTTTAACACAAAACTCATGTTTGACATCTCTGAAAAGGGGCCGTTCAAGTATTACGTGAGCACTATGGGGGGGGGTCTCTTTGTTTTCCTTATTTTGGATGACATGGGGGTAGCGGAGTCTAGATGAAAGTTTTAAAAAATCTCATACAAGTACGAAAGTACAAAATGTACAAAAGTTAGTTAACGATGTGTGGCTAAATTACAAATTACAAGCAAAATCCGACAAGGAACTAGATATTATTGTATCTTAGAGAATCGAAGAAGAATTGCAATCGGCGACTAGGGAATAAATCCAATCTACTAAATTTTTTTTCTAAGGTGAGTGACGAAATCATTTTAGGTACCCATGACTACTAGAAATATTAGAAATCGCCAAAAAGTTTCTCTTTACTGATTAGAAAATATTATGGCCTATCTCAAAGTTTAGAGGTAATATTCATTATATTCCGCCTCGTCTCATAATTAAGAATTGTAGTAACTTCCACTTACTATCCAACCACACGCATTTTGAAGATATCGATTTTTCGATTCCCTGCACGCCGCTGATCCCCGACCCCGGCGAACTTGGTCATTCTTTCATTGCGTGTCGAACCATACGTATCGCGCGACCGGTGTATGCAAATAGTGATTGTTGTGCGTGGTCGGTTAATACTATTAAAATGCCGAAAGTGGTGAAGAACCGTAAGAGGAAGTGCAGTGAGGAAGTGGTGGATAGTGTAGACGAAAAGGTAAGTGTGTTACGGAGAAAATTGGCAGATTTAGAAGCTACGCAGATTAAAAAAGATGGCACCAAGCGGTTCCGCCAGCATGATGAAATCACCGGCGAGGTTGCCAAATCTGCGGAGCTGTATCGGCGGAGGCACGAGGATGTTGCCAAACCTGATGCTGGACAACGGCACGACGATGTTGCCAAACCTGCTGTTAGACAAAGGCACGATGATGTTGCCGAACCTGCTGTTAGACAAAGGCACGATGATGTTGCCAAATCTCAAACATGTTTTGGGTGTAATAGTTCTGGTCGTCGGCCTGTTACGAGTCGTACGAGCTCTAAATCGCGAGAACACGAGGAGGATGTTCCGTGTCAATCGTCGAATTTTAACGACTCTCCGAGTCAACAAAATAATGATGGAAATTATTCAAAGGTAGATTCCGAGGAGGAAGCCTCGCTTGCATCATTGGCTCACATTTTAAGGCGGCAGTCTGTTGCCCGCTCGGTTAGCCCATATAGGCGCGAAGACGTCGCCTTTACCCCTCAGACTCAGGATGAAGACTTTATTAGTGACCAGACATCAGGGGTCAGTGGCGATAATAACTCTGATTGTGAGAGTGAAGCCAGCCTTGATCAAGCGGTATTATCCCTTTTTGGGAAAAATGTTGTTCAGTCGTCAAACCTGAGTTCGCCAATCCAAAAGGACCTCTCAGAAATTTGGACCGGAATTTTAAACAAGGGACTTGGTGACGACAAAAGACAAGAATTACTGAGGAAATTTCCTCACCCAGAGAATTGCATTTCCTTAGCTCCCCCTAAACTGAATCCCTTGGTGATCACTGCCTCTTCTGATTCAATAATTCGAACAGACAAGAGGTTGTGTGACATTCAGGCGCAGATTAGCGCAGCCATATCGGCTATTGGTTTGGCGGTTACTAACCTTTTGAAAAGGAAGAAGGAGCGGGATGTAGGAGCTATTCAACAACTGGGCGAAGCTGGGAGGCTGCTAACTGATTTATTTCATCAGGAGACACTCTCGCGTAGAGAGCTAGCAGCACTGAACCTCAACAAAGGTCTGAAGGACACTTTACTTAATGCGCCAAATGATGAATGGCTTTTTGGGAAAGACCTAGAAGACAGGGTTAGATTCCACAAGAACCTTGCTCAATCCAGTAAAGATTTAAAGGAAAAAAGATTGCCATATACCAGGGCATCTTCCAGTTCATATCCTAATCGTTCCTTAAACCCCAAAAGTTCGCCTCGAAAAATCCAAGGGCTGCGACTAGGCGGACGCCAGCAATATCAGCAGCCTCGACGAGATCACAAAAGCCGGGACAGAGGGTATTTCAAGCAGAAGAAGCAAAAAGAGTGGACGAGACACCGTCAGTAGATTCTCAGGTTGGTAAAATTGCTGGTAGGCTCAGGCATTTTCATCAAGCTTGGTCGCAGTTAACCAAAAACAAATGTGTTTTATCTTGGATTCAAGGTATTAAAATACCTTTTGCACGACCACCATGGCAGTTTAGTGCTCCGCATGAACCTAAATGGTCCTTACGTGAGCAGAAGCAAATCCAAGATTCATTACATGACCTTCTTGAGAAAGGCGCTATAACCAGAGGGCAGTTTATATCTAGAATATTTCTTACCCCAAAAGCAGACGGCTCAAAAAGAGTCATATTAAATCTCAAGCATCTTAACAAATATATAAATGCTCGTCATTTCAAAATAGAAGACCATAAAACTGTTATCAAGTTGATAAATAAAAATTGTTGGATGGCGACATTGGATCTAAAGGATGCATATTTTTTATTGTCTGTTAATAAGGCACATAGGAAATATTTACGGTTTCAGTTTATGAATTCACTGTATGAATTTACCTGTATGCCATTTGGGTTGAACTGTGCTCCACTAACTTTTACTAAATTAATGAAACCCATTTTAGGTTTTTTACGGAAGAAAGGATTAACCTCTGTACTGTATCTTGATGATTTTCTATTGTTTGGAAACACAAATTTAGAATGTGGATGCAATTTACAGGAAACCATCCAGTTATTGGAAAAATTGGGGTTTATAAATTTTTCTAAAAGTACAACTAGCCGTCAGCAGATTTGCACCTTTTTAGGGTTTACTTATAATTCAATAAATATTACCATCTGCCTGACCGAATATAAAAAACAAAAAATCATGAAGCTTGGTAAAAAATTTTTAGAGCGTAAAATATGCAGGATTCGGGAATTTGCTCATTTTATTAGTGTTTTGACCTCAGCTTGCCCGGCAGTAAAGTATGGATGGTTATACACAAAAAATTTTGAAAGAATTAAGACAAATGCCCTCATTAAATCAGAGGGAAACTTTAACTCTACAATGGACATTCCCTCTGAATTATCTGAAGATTTCCTTTGGTGGCTTAAAAATATTACTAATTCTTATAATCATTTACCCCCAAGAGACTTTAAATTGACCATTTTTTTTGATGCATCTACAACTGGTTGGGGCAGTTGCTGTGAGGGAAAAACGGCTCATGGTTTCTGGAACAGTGTGGAAATTCGGGAGCACATAAACTATCTCGAACTCCTTGCTGCCCTTTTTGCTATAAAATGCTTTGCTAATAATACTTCCGACTGTAATATTTTATGCCGGATAGATAACACTACAGCAATTGCCTGTATCAATAGAAGGGGTTCTGTTCGTTATCCTAGACTTAACTCTTTAGCAAGGAAATTATGGCAATGGTGCGAAAATAGGAATATTTTTGTGTATGCATCTTATATTAAATCTGAGGATAATAAAGTGGCCGACAAGGAGTCTAGGCAGTTGGAAACTCAGACTGAGTGGGAATTAAGTGATAGGGCCTTTCAAAAGATAACGCGTGAATTCAGTAGGCCCCAAATTGACTTATTTGCCTCACGAGTTAATAAAAAATGCAAACGTTTTATATCTTGGCTGAGAGATCCAGAATGTTATGCAGTTGATGCATTCACCATTAACTGGCCCACCTTTTATGTTTATGCATTTCCGCCATTTGCAATCATATTACAGTGTTTGCACAAGATCATCGAGGATAAAGCAACAGGCATCTTTGTTGTTCCCAATTGAACCTCTCGGCCCTGGTTTCCCGTTTTTAACTCATTGCTTGTTAGTAAATTAATTTATTTCAACCCAACTCAAGTTTTACTTCTCTCTTTTGATAAGACTCCTCATCCACTATGGAAGAAAATTACATTGGTAGCAGGAGTCTTATCCGGCAAGCATTGCAGTTAGGCGGCATACCTAAAGCATCACTGGATATTTGTATGGCTTCCATTACCAATGGAACGATTAAACAATATAATTCCGGATTGAGACTTTGGTGGGAATTTTGTAAAGAAGAAAATAAGAATGTATTTTCAGTATCTATACCAGATGTTTTAAAATTCCTAACATTGTATTTTAATGAAGGTGCTTCTTATGGCACCTTAAATTCATATAAAGGTGCAATAGGTCAGATAGCAGGGTCAGGTTTTGCAAATGACTTTAGGCTTAAAAGATTTTTCAAAGGGATTTTTAATTTGCGACCCAATGAGGCCAAGTACAATACAACCTGGGACCCCTGTATCGTCCTTAACTACATAAAAACTTTTCCGAAGGACATTTCCTTACAACAATTAACTTATAAATTAGCAGCGCTTTTGGCTCTCAGTACAGGACAACGGGTACAAACGCTGGCTAGTATTGAAATCTCCAATATAGTGATAGCTGAGGATGGCATCACCATCAAGATTCCTAAGCGACTTAAAACTTCTGGTGTAAATAGATTGCAGCCAACTCTAGTTCTGCCCTTTTACAAGACAGATCCTTCATTATGTGTAGCCAAGTGCTTAATTCAATATTTAAAAGAAACGGTGAAATTAAGAGACACCCACTGCAACTTATTATTTATTACCTTTAAGAAGCCTTTTAAAAATGCAAAATCTAGCTCAATCAGTAGATGGATAAAAGTAGTTCTTAAAAATAGCGGCCTTGATACATCCATATTTACTGCCCATAGTACACGACATGCAGCCACATCTGCCGCGGCTCGCAAGGGAGTTAGTATGGATGTAATTAGGTTAGCAGCAGGATGGACTGACAAATCAAAGACATTTGCCAATTTCTATCAACGCCCTTTGATAAAAAAGTCTAATTTTGCCGAGGCTGTTTTGGGCTCATAGTTTCTGAGAAATTACATTATCTTGTTTCTCTATTTATACTGATGTATTTAGATTTAGGTTATAGAATTAACCTTTTTCTTGTTTCCTTCAGTTAATGGTTAACAGTTCGTTTTTGTTCCAAGTTTGTATATTTTCGGTTTTCAGAAAATAAACTTTATGAATATTTATAATTGTTGCTAAATTCTTTAAACATCTACAATTCTTAATTATGAGACGAGGCGGAATATAATTAACAGATCAAACGAACTTACCTGTAGTGAAGTTCGATCTGAATTATATGAAGCCTCGTCGAAGTAATTAAGTCCCTCCCGACCCAGCCCTAAGCATACAATTATAAATATTTGGCTTGCTTTAAAAAGAATGACCAAGTTCGCCGGGGTCGGGGATCAGCGGCGTGCAGGGAATCGAAAAATCGATATCTTCAAAATGCGTGTGGTTGGATAGTAAGTGGAAGTTACTACAATTCTTAATTACTTCGACGAGGCTTCATATAATTCAGATCGAACTTCACTACAGGTGAGTTCGTTTGATCTGTTAATTATATTATAGATTTATTTCTTATGATTGATTCCGTCAATTGGTCACAAAGTACAGGGTGTTAGTTTTATACATATATACAGAAAACTAACACCCTGTATTTTGTGACCGGAACGAATTGCTCGTTTAAACATATTAGATTTAAAGCCATAGGGTTTTGTATTTACCATATATATTGCCATACTTTGTATTTATGTAGCTTAATAAGAGAATCTGTAGCAGAAGCCATAGAAAGTTTTTATTTTTAGGCAACCTGTAAACATGCAGAAAAAAATACAAATTATACAGTCAGCTTCAAATATTAAAAAGGAGGAAGAAGATAAAATAAAACCCGGTAATGAATCACAACAGCAATGCTAAATTAATGAAAATACAGATAAACAGAGAGCAAAACGTTCTCAGGAAGCTATGAAAAGTAAGATTGCTCTACTCGAAAAAAATCTGAATGCTTTGTATTCTGCCAAGCCGTTCTGAAGTTGATAAACAGATCATTAAGTTGCGCGAGGAAATAAAAACAGCAAAACAGTCTTTAAACAGGAAGGTTCGAAACGCAGTTGCCCAGAAGAAACAGGGATGGTATGAAAAGAAAGTTAGAAGATACTTGTCATGAAAATCCAGAAATAAAAAAAAGACTATCTCTGAGGGATTCAGTGGGACGTCCTAATCTTGAAAGCAATCAACATTCACTATTGAAAACAATCGCGGATATAGCTTTATTTGGGAGTGCAGCAGATGATAGAAGACGAACGGAATCAATTTGCAGCGTAAAAACTCTTGATGAACTCACACAAGAATTACGTAAAATAGGATTTGACATTAGTCGCAGTGGGACATATCTTCGTTTGATTCCCAGAAAATCTAATTCTGCAGAGGGACGAAGACATGTATCGACAGTCCCTGTTAAGCTCATTCGGGCTCAAACTGATCACCACAAGAGCCACTTAGCTAGCAAGTTCGCTGATACATCAATCCATTATTTAGAGAACATAGCATCCATGCACATGGAATATAGAATCAAATTGCCCGATCACGATTGGGTAATCGCTGAGCGTCATAAATTAATACCATCTGTTTATGCTGGTATCAAAATCACTCCCAATATGCTAGGACAACCGCGAGCCGTTGGATATTCTGGACCAACATACATCGCTATTCGAAGTGGAAAGCATAGTTCATCTACTGCTAATACTCATGCTCAGGATTTCGAGACGCTTCTCGAACTAGAAGAGTTTCGACCATTAGCTAAAACTGACAATGGACGAGTAAAACCAGTGGTAATCATGACGGTTGATGGAGGGCCAGATGAAAATCCACGTTATCAAAAAGTCATAGGGTTTGCTATACAACACTTTAAGCGACATGATCTCGATGCATTGTTTTTAGCTACCAATGCTCCTGGAAGAAGTACGTATAACAGAGTCCAGCGCAGAATGGCTCCTCTTAGTCGGGAATTGGCTGGTTTAATATTGCCTCATGACCATTTTGGGTCTCATTTGGATGAACGTGGCGTTACAATTGATGAACATTTAGAAAGATCTAATTTCGAATTTGCAGGAAATGTATTAGCCGAAGTATGGAGTTCAATGGAAATTGATGGCTAAAATGTTAATGCAAAATATGTTGGGGCAGGTGAACAAGATCTTCCTGATTTTCCAGACATTAAATGGTATTCAGAACATGTGCGTGAGAGTACTTGCTTCAAATTGTAAAATGTAGAAATACAGAATGCTGTCGTCCAAGAAGTGGCCTATTTAGATTACTAGACAATAGGTTTCTTCCACCACCTGTAAAAGTAAAACAAACAGTTTCATGACTTGGTTTTGGATGAAGGAGGGCAATTTCTTAACGTTCCAGTCAATTTAGCTCTACGCGTAAGTTCCTCACTCAAAGATTTCCTGCAAATGCCCAACGATTATTTTTGTCAGACGGTAAAATTGACGCTATCAAGTCGAACATGCAAAACGTGTGGTCTTTATCATGCTTCCGTCAAGTTACTAAATCGTCACATCGAAAATATCCATAAAAAAGTAAACACGCACACTGATAGGAAAGTTAGACCTGTAAGAATCGCAGCTCGTCGTGCCAATGAACTGATGTGCATTATTCAAAATTTAGAGCACCATGATGTTGAATGGCTCGATGAGAACGACGTAGACATTCCAAAATCCGATGAAAGCGAGCAAACTCACAACACTGAGCAGCAATCGAAGCAATCCAATGTCATAGAAAACTTAGAATCATGGATTCGGGTTTCATGGACTGAAGACTTAATTTAAATTTAATATATGTACCAAAAATTTAAAATAAGTTTGTTATGTTACTAAGATATAATATTTTTGTCCTTTACTCTATGTTGAATTCCGTATCAGTAAAATATAATCTCTATCCTAAATCTATTTTCTTATTTTTCATATTATAGTTATAACGTTATAATTATAATATTAAAAAAAACAATACATTAATTGGCAAATGTTTACGTAAGCATGGTGGGAGGGGGTAAGAGCTTTGCTTACTTTTGCTGACAAGGGGGATGGGGGGGGGGGTAAATAATTGTAATAAATCTGTTTACGTAATACTTGAACGGCCCCAAAGTAGGTTCGAGGTCTGTAAATTAAGTAATGAGACTGATTTTTTTATTTTGTATTCAAATATAATTAGAATTTTATATTGTCACACTCAAAATAACTTCCTTTTGAAGGCACACAGCGCTAGAGACGGTTCTTCCACACCTCATAACAGTGCTGGAACTCCGATACTGGAATAGTCTTCAGCTGGTCGGTTACAGCCATTTGAATGTCTTCGACTGTCCCAAAATGAATTCCCTTTTTCGACTTCGTAAAGAGAAAAAAGTCACAAGGACTCAAGTCAGGCGAATAAGGAGGCTGAGGAGACAAAAATGTTTTTACCGGCCAAAAACTCGTTTATTGACATTGCTATGTGACAAGGAATATTATCGTAATGCAACACCCAGTTCTTGATCTGATGAACAGTGGTGTTGGTCAAATTTAACTCTTCCCGGATCATTCTGACTGTCAACCGACGATCTGAACGCACATGATCCCGGATTCTGTCAATATTTTCATCGGTTCGTGAAGATGAAAGCGTTCCGCTTCGTGGTTCATCTTCAGTCGACACTCTCCCTTCTGAAAATGCCTTAAACCACAGAAATACCCGTGCTCTTGACAAAACAGTTTCTCTATATGCCTGCTGAAGTTCAGCAAGAGTTTTCGTTACACTATGTCCAAGTCTGAAGCAAAACCTGATAGTACACCGTCACACATTTTTGAAGCACAATAGAAAACTTTTTTCACAAAAAAAATCGCTACGGACAACAAAATGACTCTAGCGAGTTCAAACTTGTACTGAAGGCGGACCACATGTTCCTCTGTCCCCCTCCAAACCCAGAGCCTCCAGGGTTGCCAGATCGAGCGCTGCCAGTCTCATCACTTAATTTACAGACCTCGTATGCTCATGACAAATTGTTGAAGATGCCACAACATCATACGGCTTTATTTGCTCTTCTTTCAGTTGTAATTATGTCAAATTATAAAATGTTCTTTCTACGTGATACATTTAAAATGCATCAGACTAAATTTAAGTTCTGTGTCAAGCAGCATTGATTATCAGAAAATGTGCTTTTTGAGACCTTTTTGACATCTTTAAAAATTTGCCTTCCAATACTTTTTGTTTTGGATCGCCACCTCTTATATAATGTTAAAACATGTATTTACATTGGTTCACTTCCGTAAAAATAATAGAGTTAAGTGACAGAGTAGATATATTAAACTTTGCACGAGTAGACTCTCAACTATCCGGCCTAAGATGTCCAAACATACAAATGTATGTACCTTTTATTATTGATATTATATGGTATAATGGAGCTACAGTTAATACACATTCTGCATCTACACTGTATACACATTCTGCATAAACACACTGCTCCTGTAGAGGTGACATGAACCCCAGGATCGTGCGATTTAATCTCATTAGACTTTTTGGTGGGGTTTCTTGAGGTCCCAATTTTCATCCCCTACCATCCAAGTCAACATAACCAAGCCATCATTCACGTTCAGCCAGACCCGTAATACACAATTAGCTACGGCTATCGTGAGTTTTAAGTAGAGTGACATCCATTGATTGAATCTTAATTACGGAAACTCATTGAATTATTATTACAACACACTGGATTGACCATGAAACACTCGTTTTGTTTTACGTTCCTCTGTGAATCGGTTACCACAAAATTGCGTAACCAGTGCATTATTCTATTTTCAGCCGCTATTTGAAGTACTCGGAATATTACGTAAAATACAAACAGCCGATTACTCTTCCGATGACATTGGAAAGATCATTGAATACACCATTGTTGCCTCAGAGAGCTTTGACAGGCGTTTACAACCCATCCAGCAACATAGCTTATAAGCGCTAAAATCCTTTTTTCCATTCATTTTCATTTGGCTTTTGTGATTGTATTTCCGACAAATAAAACATCCAAAAGAAACTGAAAAGTTGTTTTTTATTGGTGGCACGTTTGTATGTGTTTCTCACTCCGTCGCGACTGGACCAGTTTATAAGACCTACCTTGGTCGTGCTTGTCATAGTCACACTATTTGTATGCAGTTGTATGGAAATTTCTTAAAAATCCTAGTATAGGTCAAGGAATAGCGAAAGCTGGTAGAGGGAAATTAATGACATAGTTTTTCGTGTATAGCATCAAAAAATTTATCCCGATTTCAAAGTTTTTTGCCATTGACGTAGGGAGGAAAAAGATACAATTACAAATTAACATATAATTAAAACATATATTTATTATTCATAAAACGTCCATACTTGAATAACTTATAAAAAATATATTTACAATACCTTATGATACATAAAATTAAATGTCTACAGTCTAAAACAGAATGAGTTCGGAAAATCGGATATTTTCCCTACGGCATGCATAAATTCCAGTTGTCCAATTTTGCCGGTAGAAGAAATGTCAATTTCATTGAGTAGCTGCAATATAAAATTTATTTTAAAATCCCTGAAATAATATATATGCTCATTTTAAATTTGATGATTCACTAATGACCACACAAATAATACACATAGGGATGTTTGCACTTAGATGAAATGAAGAAAAAATGGTTGGTACTCTGGAAGCTTCAAGTACTACTTTTATCAAAACGCCGAGTACCGGATGCTGGGTTATTCCAGCTACTGTTAGTGATATTAAGATTAAATTTGCGTATTGAAAGGCCGTTTATTGTCTTTTATGAGTCACTTTTATTTAACCCATCGCCAAAAAACAGTTGTGCATCTCCGACAATTTCTTTGCAAATGTAACATTGTGGGTTAGTGTACTTATGGTATTTCCAAATGTTATGTTTTTTAAATGCTTAAGAATAACTAGGTAAATGTTTTTACTGTGGAATTCAGCAGCTATATTAAATTTTTTGAACGTTTTTATTTGATATACGTCTCCATTCTTCCTATTACGAGAAAAACACATTTGTGTATTTGTAAGATATTTGAAAGGTACACACTCGGCATCATCAACCTGCAAGTGTATTGAAGGTAGACATTGCGAGGCCCCAAGCTGATAACATTTAAAAAAACTACCTAATAGAATTGCTTGTCATGGCCATCACGAGCTCAGAATTTAAATCCTATATTTTTTTGAGCTGCCTTCCAGAGGAGGCAAAAGAAACACATAACTTTCGGCTGTCAAGGACTAAACGAAAATTATTCTTATTCACACATTTGAGTGTAAGTTTTTTTTTGCAGAAACGCGGAATATCCGTTATTTACGTTACTTTTCGACTTTTGCTGCATTTTGCTTACTTTGTTTTGAAGTTTTTGCTATTTTTTGAGTATTTGTATGTGGACGGTCCACATCAACTAAAAATAATTCAAATCAAGTAACTGGTTCGGCAGAAATTTGCCTTAGCTATTTCTTTGATGATGCCTTCATGTTTTAAGAGGCATATCAGAAAGGCTTGGGGAAAGCATATGAGCTCCAGTTTTGAACTTCAGAGATGCAATTATTTATTTACCAAGTTGTGTGTCTTGTGCTCAGACCGAGTAATTACCCGGGCGAAACCGGGTACTCGAGTGCCGTATATAAACCGAGTACTCTACATCCCTAGTGGCTACAATCTAGTCATCTCAATATGCTCGCAGTCAAGATCGCCTTTTCCTGAACATCAATCACCCCGCTTCAGAGGTAGTTCTCCTCGGTGATTTCAATGTCCATAATGAGCTCTGGCTGGGCTCAGACAAGACCGATGCAGCAGGTCATGCAGTTGAAGCGTTAGCTGACCCAGTTGGTGACGCCCCTACTTTTTTCTCCGCGTTTCGTCACACGGCAGTAGCCTGCTGGATCTCCTTCTGACCACGCATTCTGCCGTTCCTTATAGCACTGCTGCCCTGTCTTCCCTGAGTAAGTCAGAACCCGGTGTTGTGGAGGTTATTTTTCGGTCAGAACCCGCTGTAGCAGCAGAAACTCGCCCAGGCCGCAAAATTTGGCATTACGGACAGGCTGACTGGGAGGGGCTCAGAGGCCTCTTTTCCACTTTTTCTTGGAGAGATGTTTGTTTCGCTGACGCGGAGGCGTCTGCTGACTGGTCATCGATAACCGAAATTATCCAGGTTGGGATGCAGGAATACATCCCTCATACCGTGAAAATGCCTAAACCAGGGTCCAACGGCTGGTTCGACAAATCGTGCGACATTGTCCGTCATCAGAAGATCAGCATTACACAGAACCTTCTTATAAAACCCCACTGAAGAGAACAGACAAGCCGACGTCGAGTCCAAAAACAAGTATAACGAAGCGGTCCGCAATGCCAACGACCAAAAAGATATAAAAGTTAGATACAGGTTAATGTCGCAACGCAATGGCGGTCAGCCTTTCTGGACGCTGGCCAAGCAGATTGAAAGGAGCCTCTCACAGAGTTGCCTTTCGCCACTTGCGTGTCAGGATGGAACGATTGTAACCGACTCAAAGTGCTTGCCAAGATCTTTGCTGCCAACTCCAACCATGGACGACCCCACCAACGCCCGAGTGCCGTTGATTCAAAGGGTTTTCTACACTATGCGGGAAGGAACATTCAGGCACAAGACCGTCAGACGGGTGCTCTTGTCGCTAGACATCAACGAAGCTTTTGGACCGGACTTGATTCCTGTCTTTGTATTGAAAAGGTGTGCAGTGAAGCTTGCTCCAGTTCTTTCGCGTCTATTCCAGATATCTTACGAATTCGATAGAAAAGCGAAAATTTACTCATGTCCAACCCATCCCAAAAAAGGATCTAAGACCGACCCTTAAAACTACAGGCCTATAGCTGTGCGATCTAGCTCTCTTCTACCGCTACACCAGCAAGCTTTGCTCCTCAGAGCCCTACTCCATGATGCCGCCGCACGTTGTGTCTGCCAGATAGACCCGCCTGACTTCAGTCTCGCATCCTAACCAAGTAGAAATTCGCACATCCAGAACTGGCCGATACAACCGCTCCTTTGTCGCGAGGGTGTCGAGATTGTCGAACAATCTACAAGAGCAAACATTTCCCAGTTCCACTAACCTTAGGCAGTTAAAAAATCGGATTAACAACATTTCTTCGGGATCCTCATAGCATCCGCAATGTCCCTGACATTTAAGCTTCCGCCTGCGCGGCTGCTTCGGTATAAAAAAAAAATTAGCCGTCATTATTTTCAGAGAAAAAAGAGTCGATGTATTCGCTTCCAAGGATGGCTTAGCTCAGTTACTAAGTATCGCTTTCTATCGACTGTATCTGCTGACAACTGGCACAGCTCACCCCGTTTTACACACGATTGTCAATCAATCAATTCCAAAGCGGTATATTCAGATAGCATCTAGGAGACTAGGCTAACACATGCTTCATGCAGCGCTAGCTTGCATCTAGGTGCAACTGAATGTAACCGATTATTATTTTGTTATGGACATTCATGTGTGAAATCAGTAGAAAATAGAAACTTACTATATCTATTATGTGTTTCTGTTGTTCGGCATGAATTTCACCTTCGTCACCAGTCAGTCTGTTGATCGCAAGCATCAAATCTTGTTCTCCAATACACTCGTCTTCATCAAAATCTAATACAAGAATAATACATTTGAATATTTAAAACATTTGGAAATAATCTAAGAGCACGGATATGGCAGAGCAGTTCACCTCGCCACGATGCTTGTCACTATCGAAATAAGACAGCTCAAAGCGTCATCTATAGCTGCTAGTAGTTGGAACTGTTAAAGATCTCAGCTCACGTTTAATAGCCTTATCACACGTGAACGCTAGATGGATGTAAAGTAGATGTCAGTGGCGCCCCCCCCCCTAGACGTCTAACACGTGCTTTTATAATCTAACACCATTGTGTTACTTTCTGACACATCATGGCGACAGAGGCATACTTAACTATAAGTTATAGCTATAGGAACTTAGCATTACGATTTTTTGGTAACCTTTGGTATTTCAAACGCTGTCCTCCTTTGATTTCACTTTACAGCATAATTCTTACGGTTTATACGTAACTGTAACTTGTGACATATCTAAGTCTGAGTAATAATTAGATTGTACTTAAAAAGTGGTTTTTGTTCTGTTTGTTACTCAATAGTAATTTGACTGATTTTGTTCGGGGTTGGTGTTGCATCGAAGCACTATGTTAGATGAACGCATAAATTGGAAAGTGTATGAGCCTGTTTATGTTGCTATATTGAATTCGTTTAAATCACTACACTGCACTACACGTGAATATGTATTGTTTCGTACAAACATACATTCTCAAAATAATTACGATCTAACACATATAGTTTTTTCCAAAGATTTACTACATTTTTATATGCGATCAAAAGCGATTCGAAAACTGAGAAAACAACAACTATGCCATAAATCTAAGCACGACAATGAAAGTCTGAAAAATATCTGTAACATCTATATTGAATTTCAAAGAATAATTGACTATACCTATTGATATTTTCATCACCTGCTGATATAATAGAAGTGTTTGATTGTGACAGTATTTGCATAAATTACTTGATTTGCTTAATGGACAGTTCAGAGTCTTAATCCTTAAGCATACTAGTAGACCCCGTTGCGCAATTTGCCTATAGGCAGTCTGGAGACGGTCTCAAGACACGATCTATAGATGGTTTATAGACATCCTTCTTGGTCTCGTCCAGCGTCCATACGATAATGTGAATTTTTCGGTGTCAGGTTCGTTTTCGCCATCAAAGACATTGTTTTGTGTGTAATGGACTGGGATATGTCTCGGGGTCCCTCAGACTGTTATAAATGCCACGTACTTATTTTGTTCTCATATAATAAAATATTTCCTTTCTGAGGAATTCTGAGCATGTTTTTTTTTTCATGCTGGCATGTGCCGGATATAACACAATGGATTTAAGGTGCAATAATAGCATAAATTCTAGAAGTTCCACTGAGGTTGACAAATTACTAGCCCCAACTATCGTTTGCGCTCGTCCCCCCTAGACGAAATCCTAAATCCGTCCTTGAATCTGATAGGAGGTATGCGTGCGCTACCCTACAGCATGGTAGACACATCTAGACGTGAACTGAGATCTGTAACAGTTCCAACTAATAGCAGCTATGCGCTCTCGGCAGTAGTCGATTCTGGTGATAGATGGCGCTTTGCCCTGTCTTATTTCGATAGACCGTACCTTCTGGTTAGATGATAGGTTGCGATGCTTTCGTTCGTTGACCCAGAGACGAGAGACCAAGCCTGGAGCATGCTGATGAGTAGACAAGTTGCACGAATCAGCTATCCATGGTTGGCTGTGTTTTCATCGGACCGACGAAAGCATCATGTTCACCTTATCACTATCGTTATTGAAATCGCCACCCGGCTTAATTAAGGTTGTCTGTTCCAATAAGAATGAGGAAGATATATACAGGGTGTCCAATAAGTACCACGATAAACTTAACAAATTCAATATCTCAAAAACGGTGACACTTTTATATAGGTAAGTTTTTGTTATTTGGGAGGTCAGTAGAAAGCCTACCTTCTCCTTAAGTTTGTCGTGGTACTTATTGGACACCCTGTATATACACAAAGTGCGACTGGTGTAAGTATCAAACTGACAATGTTGCCATGGCGCTGTATTGGCATACTGTGGTGAGGTGAACTGTTTCACTATGTCTCTGTCTTTACTAGTCGTATAAACTGGTGGACAGGTGCTTTGCAATATGGAAAATTTTACCCAAATTCAAATCTCTATATTTTCGGAACGAAAAGAGATATCGAATTAAGGTATTCTGAAGGTTCTTGACCAACTCTTTGAGAACACGTACTAGGTTCGACCGGTATATTTCTTTTATTTATCCATTTATACAAGGTGAGTAAAGGAAGACATGTTTTTAGCAAAGTTTTGGGCTATGTTACATTCTCAAGTTTTGATCTTGGACATTTTTCTATGCATGTTTTTGACCTTTGGACTATCCTAAAAAAGTGACATCTCAAATTTTTCTAACATTTGCTATAACTCAAATGATCGAATTTTTAACTTTCCACAGTAAATGTTTTTCCGCTCACCCTCGTATTTTTTTATTACTCTCTCCATACAAATAGCACGTTTCTCCGGTTTCATCATATTGAATGTAGACTTTAGACTTGACAGTATAATTTTATTTTCTCAAAAATGCCTCATCTTTTTCAAAAAGAACGAGATAATTTTATAAGATTATTGGGTGAAGGTCGTTTAGTGAATGATGTAGCTTTAATTTATAATGTTGATCGGTCCTCAATATACCGTTTAAGGCGTAGATATCAGGATCCCGGGGAAACGTCCTACTTGGAGGAGGTAATCCAAAAAAATACGAAGTCGGGCCGAAATACATTTATTGCAAAAAATAAGGCGAAGGAGGACCTTTTCATCCCGAATCTTGAATGAAAACTCACCGCGGCACAGAAGAAGAGCTTCAAATTCCAATTTGTTAAGGTATGTAAATATTATAAAAAAATTCTAGGTACTTTTTTAAAGTAGCATTTCTTCCACAGCAAGTCTACCCGACTCTTGAACAATCATAGAATCGCCAGGTACCAGTGGGCACAGGGGCGGGTAAATTGAGATCAGCAGTGGCAAAATCCGCTCCAACCAATACCAATCTGATGATAGGGTCCTTGTTTGTAGGCAAGCTATGGAACGATATGATGAAGAAAACATGGCTCCACAAGAGGCATTTGGTGGAGGTGCCATTACTATTTGGGCTGGGGCTAGTTAATGCTGCAGTTTATAGGACATTTTAGACAATATTGTTATGCCTTTGGTACGAGATTTTGGGGAGGATTTTGTCTTCATCGATGATAACGCCAGGCCGCACAGAGCTCGTACAATTATAAACTTTTTGGCAGAAAATAATGTTACATTATTGCCTCTGCCATCAAAGTCTCCAGACCTAAACATAATTGAGCAAGTGTGGTCTCGGCTAAAATGTTTAGTGCTGTCAAGACGAAATGCTGTTCAAACAATGGAAGAGGGAATTCAGGAAGAGTGGGAAAATGTATCCCTCGAATTCATTAATAACGTTCTGGAAAGTATGCCAATAACTGTTGCTGTTTCGTAAAAAATTCGTTTTTGTCATAAATAAATAATTTAAGTATATAACTGGTCTTCAAATTATTGTTTTCTAAAATGTTACATATTCTTAATGTTAATCAATAAATTCTTTGATTTTGCTTAAAAATTTAATTAGTATTACATATTGTAAACATCGAAGACGCGTACACAAATGCTGAATGAGAAAGATACAAAAATCCAGACAAAAGATGCATAGCAGTGTTTTTTTAAGTTATTAGCACTTCTTACTAAACAAAAAAAAAAGCTTTTGGTATTACGCCATTGGTATACACCCCTATATTAAGAGTAATAACTTGCATTTGTTCATTAAGCTGTTTAATTGCTTAGTAAAATTTATAAATTCGGCTTAGATTACATAATGTCAAAGTAGCAATTTTTTACTGCACGTCACTGGAGACAATAACGTCCAACGGTGCAATCTTTTCTCGGGCGCAAGAGATTCCATTTAATGCAACACTATGAGAAAAAATACCCATTCTCAAGAAAAACCATTTTTAGGGATAAATGTAACACTTTTAAAATTCGATAATTTGAGTTATAGCAAATTTTCTAAAATTTTGAGAAATTGCTTTTTTAGGATAGTCCAAAGATCAAAAAGATGCATAGAAAATTGTCCAAGATCAAAAAATTAGAATCTGGCATATCCCCAAACTTTGGTAAAAAAACTGACTTCCTTTGCTCACCCTGTACAAGTGGATAAATAAAAGAAATATACCGAATATGTTCTCAAAGAGTTGATCCAGAACCTCCTGAATACCGCAACTCGATGTCTCTTTCCGTTCCGAAAATATCGAAATTTAAATTAGTGTAAACTTTCCAAGTTGCAAAGCAACTGTCTACCAGTTTATATGTGTTTAAGGGGGTATTGATTTAGATATTATGGAGTTTACCTTCTAGACAATAACATTTGGAGAATGAGATCGAAAAAGGTTTGTTGTTTTTTGAAAATACCTTAAGGCTACCAGCTTCTCTATTTTTTACGCATACTCACCTAATATTCTGAACGCCCATGAAGCTTTGACTTTGTCAGGGCACTTATTTGACATAACTGAACATAAATCTAGCATATCTTCAAAGGATAACTTTTCATCTTTTTCTGAAGAAAACACTTTAAATATCCTATCCTTGAATGGGTTGAACTGAAAAACAAACAATTTATCTAAAAAACTTAAATACAACAATTGTAGTTAACTGTATGCTCCTGATTTGGAAAGTATTTTTGACAGGAATTCGTACCTACGTGGTGGCACAAATATACATTTTTTTAAAATCCTATGTCCTACATCTTATAACAGATTTGAAGAGGCCCTTTCAAACGAAGGAATTTGATATAACACACTATAGGGTTTCACTTTCAGATACTTGAGATATTGGACAATCTATCGAAAAAAAAAACACTCAACTTTGATAATTACACCTTCGCAACTGTGATAGCTAGAGTACTAAATTTTTCATCAGATAATTTCATGATCCCATACTTCCTCTCTCTATCTACATTAGTTGTTCTACATGCTTTTTCAGTTTTTTGATAGTTTATTCCATTCAGAAAAGCGTATGATTAGGTCACCACGTAGTTATGAATTACAGAATTACCCTGTATGTATGTTTATATTTTAAGATGATAATATCATATTTTGTTCATGATGAAAAAAAAAAAGAAAAAGAGTTGCCAAAGAATTGAGTACACACAAAAGAAGTGGCAGCTTTTACCAGGATCTCCCATTTTTCATGAAATATGTAAATCTATTAATAGCGTTTAAAAAAAACAAGGTGGGTGAGACACGAGTCTCTACATGATCACATGGACCGAGAGAAAGATACATAAATGTTACCTGAATTTGGGGAAACAAGCTTTCTACGCATTCTGGTGGAAACCTGAATTCCAAATTTTGTAACTGCCCAGTCCTATCCAATTTACTGAATAGTTTGTAGAGGCTGAAATAAATATATTAGCTCAATTTTCAAATGAATAGGAATAGGAATATTATTTATTAACTGATGGGCACTGAAGGTTTATCTTGCGTGAAATGCTTCCTATTGGAGATATCATAGATTCTTAGTATATAGAGGTAGGTGAGTAAGTGCATAGTGTGCTTATCTGCTTATCAGAATCGTAGTTTTATCATTCTTGATTAGAAAACGTAATATCTTTCCTGCATCGTTATTTGGAAACATATCCAACTTTATCGTTTCCACTATTCTTTTGTTTGTGTGTTTGTTATGAATCATTAAACTGTAATTTTTTACGTCAGAAAATTAAACAATTACTAGCTTTGTTTTGTTGTTTTCCGATAAATGTGTACTGAACTGTATACAGTGGAACAGTGAGAACAGGGTATTTTACCATAAATAGGAAAAAACACTGCGCCTTAAAATTAGCGCGCCATAAAGGGTTCCCTACACTATGCGTGAAGTAACAATCAGGCATAAGACCGTAAGACGTTGCTCTTGTCTCTTGTCGCTCGACATCAACAAAGCTTCTGGACATCCGGACTTAATTCCTGCCGTTGCATTAAAGAGGTGTAATGCGTAGCTTGCTCCAGTTCTTTCGCGTCTCTTCCAGATATTTTCGAATTCGGCAACTTCCCAGACAACTGGAAATTTGCTCGTTCAACTCATCCCAAAAAAGGGATGTAAGTCCCACCCCTACGACTACTGGCATATAGCTCTGCTTTCTGTTATAATTAAGGTGTTGGAGAGGTGCATAAATCGCGAGCTTCTGGACTATCTCGAACGCCATGGCTCGCTCAGCAACAAGCAGTATGGTTTCCGGCACCAGCGATCCACAGGGGACCTCATAGCTTACGTCACGCAATTGTGTAGTAAAGTCATCAGCTGTGGCACGCTGTTCTCTTATGCAAACCTCCATCCAATGGCCTTTCAGAGCTTGGCAGATGGGTGGTTGCCTTTCTCTCTGGCCGCAAGGTGGGTCCTCCTCTTCATCACAACGTCAACGCGGGTCATGCCCAGGGATCGGTTTGGGCCCCGACACTGTTCCTCTTACATATCAACGACCTTCTTTCCTGTACGATCAATCCAATCTACGGCTTTGTTGATGACAGTGTACTACTTACAGAAATTCAGAGCGACAAGACGATCTCTGCCGGTGAGCTGGAAAAAAGAAGACTAGCAGCGACTTCCTCTCTGACGAGAGACCTGGGGACCCTACAATCTTATACAATTTAATGCTTCCGAAACACAGTATTGTACCTTTACGAACAAAAAGCGTCCTAGTGCTCATCCGGTTTCGATGGATGGGCGAGTTCTGCCAAAGAGTCGTTCATTTCGGCTGGTCGGAGTCCAGATCACCGAGGACTTGATCTGGCACGAACACATCTTGAGCTATAGCAGCTGCTGGGAAAGATAAATAGGAAAAAACACAGCGCCTTAAAATTAGCGCGCCATAGCTTTAAAAGTTTCTTTTGACTTTACTATTCGAGATGTGCATGAATTGTGCATTAATGGTCTTTAATAGCAATAATTGTTCAGGGAAAGCCAGCAACATGTATGAAATGGGCTAGGCATACTTTTGCCTCTTGCAGAAAACCCACTCAACTGGTCAGGTCCCGAGCTTTAGCAGGATTTATTTTTTTTATAACATCGCCAGAAGGTAAAACATCGGCTACCCTTTTCTTTAGACCTTAAGATTTACGGCATTTTAAGATGATGCGCCAAATGCTAAGCAGTAACGTTTGGAGGGTTCACAGACCATCATCAAATGATCAAACAAAAGGTTCAAATCTTGAGGATGGCAAAGGGAGGTGTTGAATCCTGTCGGGCAATCCAAAATCGTCGTAGGAGAAAACTCAACAAAGTGTAAGACTACACCACAACAATGCGCATCCTCAGGTCTCATAACAAACAAAGGACTTAATCAAACGATTTGGCCGGGAAGTCATTATCCATCTCCCTTTCAGCCCTGACAGCGTTTCCGAACTCAAAGGTAGTGCAAAAGTGGATTTCAAGTCTAGAAAAAATGCGTAGAAAAAATGGCGACTAAGGAGAAAAATAGTTCAAAGATCAACGTATCCAATGGTGAATTCGTTTTTTCAAATAAAAAAATTCCTTGTGCCTGAAAAAAATGTTGGAACCTTATTTTTGGAACAACCCTCGTACTTTATTTTTCAGCTTCAGAAGTACCATTTTGACTACAATAAGATTTGGTCTCAAGCATGTAAATAGTTCAAAGTTACACCATTTCTACATTGTACAAGGGAGAATTTACAGTTTTACAACCGGAAAAGAGTCTGCTATTAGCCTGCAAAGATTTTCAGGACGTAAAACAATTGTATTTTGGATGGGAATATTTGATCTACGGCAGAAATCACATTTTGCTTACTTAGTCTTTCTTGTAAATGTGGTTTCGATTTCGGAAACACTATGAAATTGCTGGGAGGCCAGGACTGGCGAATCTATAAATTAATTCAAAGCTTGCTTGGTGTAGGGGTAGAGCAGCCATTTTGAAAGAATCTGGTAATTTTTAGATTGTTTGTATAATAGGTTCCTCTAATTGTACATATTCATCTTGTAAGACCACATCATGCCATTTTTAATGTTTTGGTAAGTTGATACCGTTACAGATGGCCCAGTGCGAGGTTGGATTCCACAAGATGCATTTCCACATTTAAAATCACGACACCAGCATTTGCCTAAATCATGAGAATCTGAATACTCTCCAACAGTCGCAAAAATAATTGGAGAATTTCAGTGGGCACCATACTGTTCTTTTACAGTCGTTATTACAGCTCTTTGCTCAACAGGTTACATGTCTATAAGGATTGTTGTCAGACTTGAACAGTGGCGTAGCTTGCTCCTCAAGGGTCTCATATCAGAATTTGTAGAGGGCCTCCACCCAACTACTACTGTGAATGCCAAATGGAGGGTAAAACTTATGAAGTATATATATATAAAAGAAACAAACACTTGGATTGAACAATATGAATTGTCAGGTATTGACCATGGGCGCCACCAGGAAGTTTTCTCAGTCAGAGGAGGTGGATCATCGGCAACAGATAGCTTTATGTAAAAGTTTACCTACCCTCAAAAGAAGCAAGGGGTAGTAGGTTTTGGGAGTACTGTGAATGCGAAAATTTTAGATTTTTTGTTTTGCGATGTCTACAATGTGTAAATCCATGTAGGTACCTAATGCTAACTTCATTTTTGAAAATTGCTTGAATGGCAGCGATGTTATGAGCAAAAATTAAAATAGCTGTAAGATTTTTTTTACACCGAAACATACGCGCAGACCAGCGCACCGCGCTGCTATGAGATGCTTAAAGAAACTTTGTTAATCCGATTTTTTAAGTGCCTGAGGTTAGTAGAACTGGGAAAAGCCTCCTCAAATAGATTGTTCCACAATTTTGTTACCCTACGGACCAAGCAGCGGTCGTATGGACCAGTTGTTTTGTACGAAGTTCGACACGGTTAGGATGGGAGGCCGAAGTCAGGCGGGTCTGCCTGGCAGGCACATCACGAGGCGGCATCATGGAGGAGTGGTTTGAGGAGCAAAGCCCATTGGCGTATCAGTAGAAGAGAAGAGAGCTAGGTCGCCGACTGTCCGCTGATGCGAAAGGATCCCGAAACTGTCCATTAGAGAAGAGTCATCGATCAGTCGAACAGCGCCCTCCTCTGGACAGCATCGAGCATGGAGAATGTGAGCAATACTCTAGGCCAGTTCTTATCTGGGCCTAGTATATTGTGAGGAAAAGTACTTCTTAGCCCTAAACAAATCGCCTAGCTTTTTCCCAGCAGCTGCTGCTATTGACAATATGTTTTGTACCAGATCAAGTCCTCGGTGATCCGGTCTCCGACCAGCCGAAATGAACGACTCTCTTAAACTGTACAAGATTGTTGCGTCCCCAAGTGATAACCTCCAGGTCTCTAGTCAAAGAGGAATGTCGCTGCTAGTCTTCTTTTTTCCAGCTCAACGGCATAGATTGGCTTGTCGCTATGAATTCCTGCATGTAGAATGTTGTCATCAGCAAAGATATAGTTTGGGTTGATCTTACAGGAAAGGAAGCTGTTGATATGTAAGATGAACTGGGTCGGTGCGAACACCGATCCCTGGGGAACACCTGCGTTGACGTTGTGGGATTAAGAGGAGAACCCGTCAATTACGACGGATATCTTGCGACCACAGAGAAAATCAGAGCACCATGAACTTTATCCTTGAACACATTTCAGTCTGCACATGAATGTTGCCAAAACAAAATTGGTCAACTTCTTCAAAGTGTGAAGACAGCGAAATTCCGAGATGCAGCTTCTCGGGCAGTTATCTCAAGTTGGATCGCCAACTTTCGATAGGAAGAAGCCTTAAGAAGAAGAAGCAAGGCTTATCTTGACTCATGGAAAATTTGAAAATAGACATAGGTGAATGCTTGGAAAGCACCGAATCAATCTACGAGTACTTGCCACTATTTTACCGCAATTTTTATATTCAATCATCCCTAGCCGAAAACTATTTCAGTGTTTCGAAATTTTCAGCCTCTGAAGACAGTATCATGCTTGAGGGTCAAAGTTGCTTTATACAAGTCCTAAGATATTTTAATTTCGAAAAGCTTCTTTCAGCTGTTCATTTCTTAATCTAGAGGGTTAAAATAAGTAGCATCATGCTACTATCGCCTAGCCGTACAATCTAAGGTTCAGCGCTTGAAAATTTTTAGTTTAGGGAACTTGCGTGAGATTGTGAAAAACTTTACGCTTCTTTTTCCGTACGTAAGCTAGGAGCCCCGTATCATTGATACGGGTGATACGGCGGTAGCTACGCCCCTGGACATGACCCAAAAAGCACCTAATGTCCAAACGTCTTAACAAATAAGCTAAATCAAATAAGCATGTGCAAAGTGGTCATGGCCGGAGTATGGGCATTCATCCCTTAGATTGTCCTGAGACTTCATCTGTTGAGAGAACGATCAAGTCGCTAGGTAACGTCACACCGATAGAATAAAACGTTATACAACCTCAAAGAAGGCAACACATCTAATCTAATCTATAGCTCAATGAGTCTTATTACACTTGACATATTTTTGTTCAATTAAGCGTGATAGATATTATTAGATGTGCTGTTTTGATACAAAAAAGAACCTTGGGAAAGTAAATCCACCACAAACTTTGAATAAAAGAGCAACTGAAAACAACATACGTACAGTGTGGTACAGCTAAAGATGAAGTAAAATCATTTTCTCTATGATGTCTCTGTGTTATGAAAAATTCTGCAATAGGTCAGGTATCAAAAAAAATTATTTTGATGAGCTATCGGTATTTTTCGTCTAAAAAGTATTTTCAGTGTATTTACGTTTTCCTGCGATCGAGATGCCGTAAAACGACCTTCAAATTCACGTGAAATTTCGCGCCAAATATAAGTATTAAATACATTTTTTCTAACGTACAAGCGAAAAACGGTTCATAACCCTGACTACGAGGGGGTTAAATACGGGTGTTTCCAAAACTTGGGGCCAGGGGTGATACTCTAGACATTTTAAGACCATTTTGGCATATTGCGGTTTTTCTTAAATAACCTATAAATAACATCGTATAATCCAACAACATTTTGCCACCACATGAACTAGCCGCCTTGTTTTAATACATATTTCTCTTATCGATTCACCTTGCTGCCAATACCTAAAAAGTTGGAAAAAACTTGAAACTCGATGAAGTGGTCTCAAAATTTACATGTGTGAGTACTTCGGGTTGCTTATTATGAGTCTGTTATCAGAATTTCAATATATTAAAATGGCGGAATTAGTATATTGGAATTAGTACCACAATTGATAAAAAAGCATTCAAACCTGACTATTTGTCTCAAAAACGGTTAATTTTATCTAAAACAAACCTTTTTACATAAAGAATCAGATTTCCAAAAATATTACTTCTGATCCGTTAAAATATAACATAAAAAAATTAGCAATATTGCATTCAGAGGCGTATCCGGGAGGAGGGGGGCAAGGCGCAATCAAGTGGAGAGAACATTTTTACAAAAATTAAATTATTCATGTACAGGGTTCTCAACAAGGTAAATCAATATCTGTTAGATGAGAAATTACTAGGATTAGTTGAAATCTCTGTTAGATATAAACTCAATTTTGCTGAAAGCACTATATTTTACGTGTGCTTCAAATTCGAATCTCGCCTTTGAGATCTCGGAAACGCTAAAGCGAATATCACACGGTCAGTATTTATTGTGGTCCGTACCATCAGTGGATTTCTGCGTAGGGAAATAAAAAACGGAACTTGGAGAGTTCGTAAATTAAAAGTATTTCCGTATTTGCTCTAAATTTTATTTTTACCTGGCTATAGTCCGAAACAAAACTTTTCAAGCATCCACATTGTCTACAGATTTCAAAAACGGTAGCATAATTAGAATTTCGATCTGACGTTTCAGCTCACATTTTTTTTAAATTATTCCGTTTTCGATGTCTTCATGATTACCCTTAAATAATATAAATGAGTTACAGTCATATGATAATTTCAAGGCTTACTAAAAAAGATACCATACTGTATGACGTGCTATAATATTTGAAATCAGAATTAAAAGCTATAAGAGACGAACAAACAGATTCATTGTCTGTTTATTCCACCTTGCAGAGATCAAAAAGTGGCAATGCATTGTGCAGTTTATTTCAAAATTATATCTCGACTAAATTCAGAAAAGATTAGAAATGATTTTGGGAAAATTCGATGCCTTTTTCGAGTATCTCTGGAGTTACTGGAAGCGTCAAAACGTTTCAAATGTATTTTCTAAAATATATAAATATGCAACTTTGCAACCATTCAACCGACCTGTATCTCTTACTAGTCCAGGCTAAATAGAAAAAACGCTGAAAAAAAGTTAAGCAGACATCTGAAAGTTGGAAGGGGTCTTTCTAATGACAAATACATAAAAAGACACAGCCAGATATGCGCTGTTTTTTTATAAACAATCGGAAAAGCCCAAAATTCAGTATTTTGCTTTTGCAATTTTTAAATTATATTTTATAATTTTATCGGTGAACTGTAGATTTTAGATAATAAAAAGACCTTCAATTTTGTTTTTTAAGAATTAAAATCGATAAACAACTAAGCTAAATACGGGGCTTTTCAGCAATATTGAATAAATGTTTATAACTATTGCAATAACAATTATAAATGGCTAAAAATTTGGAAGAATGAGTGCATCATTGATGTTAATAAGTGTGCTAAATTTCAGCCAGATCGACTTAATATGTAATTTATGTAAAAAGATAATTGTTTATCCCAGAGACGAATTATTTAAACAACTCTTCTTGTCCAAGATATAGTCCTAGATAACTTTACAAAAGTGAGGTTGAAACTTCAAGAATTTATTCAAAAAAATAATTATTTATATCAAAATTGTTGTTAAAAAAGATGTTAAAAAATAACCATTTACAATAACTTCGTTATTTTCCTGTCCACTGTATAGATCCGATCGAAACCGTTGTCACTTCGCCTCCACCCGTACTTGGCTGGATCTAATTTATTGCCTAACCATGTTTGTAACTGGTAATATACCCGTAGAAGGCTTTTTAAATATGAGTTTTTAACCATCTATCCAGGCCAAATAGTTAAAATAAATTACCTATATTGAAAACTAACGTGGTTATTGTACCTAAATGTTTATAACTATAAAAATTTCCATTTTCTAACATCATTTTTAACAATTTTGAAATAAATTATTTTTTTTGCAAAAATTCTTGAAGTTGAAACCTTCAAGTATCCATTTCACTTTTGTAAAATGTTCCAGGACTATCTCTTGGGCAAGAACAGTTGTTTAAATAATTCGTCTCCGGGATAAACAATATTGCTAAAGAGCCCCGTATTTAGCTTAATTGTTAATCGATTTTAATTTCAAAAAAAATAAAGATGAAGGTCTTTTTATGCTCTAAAATCTCCAGTTTACCGATTATTTATAAAATTTAATTTGAAAATTACACAAGCAAAATACTGGATTTTGAGCTTGTCCCATTGTTTATAAATATCTAGCTGTATCTTTTTATGTATTAGTCATTAGAAGGACCCCCCTTTCATTTAAAACTTTCAGACTTTTTTAAATGAAATACCTATTTTTCTTCTCTGTTGCCTGGGCTATACCGTTTCGGAGATTACAATGGTACAAATATGACAAATAATTTGTTTTTCAAATCACTCAACTAGGTACATAACCTTCTACATATTCTATAAAACTATTTTTGGTTATATGATGAAATTTCAAGGAATTGTACAAAAACAACGAATAGATGTCGACAAAGAGAAATTATTTCGGGATTCAGAATAATATCCTATATCCCCGGCTACAAAGCTTTTCCCTTTGAAGTGGCATATTATTATACACTCTACGGTGTTTCATTTAAAAAAAATCGTTTTTGTTGTCAAGTCGGTATGAATCACCCTGTAGGGAGCGGTATATTCCACAATTTTTGTAAATAACATTTTTGATTGTTTTATAGTGATGGAGATATTGTCCAATTAGATACTAAAAGCTCACCCTGTATGTATAATTTGTTGCATCAGTTACGTCACTGGATAGCTTGAGCATTGTTCAAGATTTATTTTTCGATTTTAATCACTACAAAGGCTTCAACTTGTGGCTACTATTTCATATTTACTCTTATGCACTTTTCGGCAAAAAATGAAAGATTTCTTGCAATAACCAATAAACTGTAGCAACGAACTGGACATAACCATTTTGAAGGTGTTTTCATCCCTTTCCCAATTCTTCTATAGACTTATAACTTTGAGGTTTGATAAAAAAATCACCCAGAATTTTTTATTTCGAGATGAGGGGCCTTTGCATTAACTCTTAAGAATATATAAATTCTTCTGTACCATTTCTTCTACAACAGGGTTCACATTTGGCTTGTTTGAATATTTCAAACAAGTAATCCTAGTAGATTTCTATATGCATATAAATTATCAAATTGTCGTGGAATACTCTATACAAATGAAATGCAAATAGAAAGAAAAATATCAAGCATTTTTATATAGATATGATTTGTAAAACTAGCACCAATTTTTTTTTAAGGTGCCTCCCTTCCGTTTTGAGCTGAGTACGTCCTTGCTATAACGCATTAATAATAGTGTAAAGTGTATTCACTTACTGTAGTATCTCAGCTTTGTTCAGATAAGTGAGAATGGTGTATTCCTCGAGAATGTCTTGCGTTAGCACTGACAGAGAACTACCGGTAGATCCCATTGCTACCACTCACACCAATAGACTGTGCGACAATCAGAATCCTAACGGCAATTATTCCCCCGCGATCTCTCTTATTTTTTAGATAAGATACCGAAACGAGTTTGCATAAGTCAATTTATTCACAGACGTGCATTGTATAGGTGCGATGTCTACGATTATTGTGAAATGCAGTTTGAATGCATCCGATGTCAAGGCATACCAGCATACCACAGCATATTACCGATTTTGGTACTAACTTGCATGCTGTTCATCTTACGAATTTCGCAAGGCGGTGCCAAGATAGTATAGAAATATCTTTTTTCTTAATCTAAATTGACGTAAAATCGTAATTTGTCACGAACTGCGACGTAACCAACTTTATCGTGTTTATACGTGAGATGACGATCATTTGACATGGCGAAGTCTCAGTGAAGGGATTTCTCAGTGCATCGACCATTTCAGAGTAGAGAATGAGCATATGTTTGTGTGAAAATCTGCTTTAACAACTTAGCAATATGTGGGAGTAAGGCATATGTGCAAATATTTCATTATATTCGCGGTATCAGGATCTCTAAAACTCCATTATTGCCAAGTGTAAATAGTAGCTGATATGTCTACAACGCTGTAGGGTGCATGCCTCCTATCAGATTCAAGGGCGGATTTTAGGATTTCGTCTAGGGGAGGGGGGGTCGTAAACGATATTTGTGGCTGGTAATTTTTCAACCTCATTGGAACTTCTAGAATTCATCATATTATTGCTCCTTAAATCCATTGTATTCTATCTGGTCAATGCCAGCTTAAAAAAAACATGGAAAATGCACAGAAATCCTCAGAAAGGCAATATTTTATTATATGAGAACAAAATAAGTAGGTGGCATTTATAATTATCTAGTGTATTAATATTAAAAATTAAAACATAAAAACTTATCTGCACTGTTAACCGAAAACAAGTCTGAGGGACCTCGAGACATATCCCAGTCCATTCCACACAAAACAATGTCTTTGATGGCGAAAACGAGCATGAGACCGAAAAATTCACATTATCGTGTGGACGCAAGAAGAAACAAAGAGGGATGTATATGTACCATCTATAGATCGTGTCTTGAGACCGTCTCCAGACTGCCTATAGGCAAATTGCGCAAGGGGGTCTACTGGTGTGGTGCTTAAGGATTAAGACTGAACTGCCAATTAAACAAATCAAGTAATTGGTACAAATACTGACACAATCAAGCACTTCTATTATATCAGCAGGTGATAACAATATCAATAGGTATAGTCAATTATGTTTTGAAATTCAATACATATGTTACAGTTGTTTTTCAGACTTTTGTTGTCGAACTTAGATTTACGGCATAGTTGCAGTGATGGGCGTTTACGCGTATACATTAATTGTCCACGTCTCCATGTATACATTGCGTATACAATGAGTAGAATGTATACAATGATGAAGACAATGTATAGAATAGCATAAGTGAGGTTAGGTTTATTCGCAAACCTCAGAAAGTTGGTGAACAGTGAGCAAAAAATATGGTTGGGCGCCCCAAGAACAAAGAAATCGATTAAGTAGGGTTCATTTTGTTTGAAAATGGAAAGACATATTCCGTAGAGAGTAGTGCTGGCAAAAAAAAGTTGTCCAATACTGCTATATCTCGATTGAAATCACACAAGTATTTTGTTATATTTTATTTAAAAAATGTTCCTAATTTATTGAAAATTATATCTTTGTATACGTATATAAATAAATATTATATATCTATACCCTTTCTCATTATTTATAACCTGCTTTCACAGCCAAACCAATAATGCAATGTTGCAGAATTTGAAGCGATCTTGAACTTTCAGTTTCACCTAAATCATTAGGATCGATCCGGAATTGATCCTAAACAAATTCGACATAAATGTGTATTTGGGGGTAGAAAACAAGGCATTGCAGCAAGTTACAGTCGTGTTCTGTGGCCTTCATCACTGTTGTGCTAGGCAACGTGGTGTGTGGTGCACTCTTTCTACACAAGTGGTGCCCGCTTCGCCCCCCCTCTCTCTCTTCCTCGTACACGTGGAAATCTAAAAGGGAAAAGGACTTTCGTCAGCACTGTATGCAAGTAGTTGAACTATGATTTGCTATTGTAAACAATGCATACATTGTATATGTATATCGAGACGTATATATTCACCATTGTATACCCTTATACAATGGTGTATTGCATACAATGCGCCCATCACTGACCAAAAGTATGTAGCTATAACTTATAGTTAGTATACCTCTGTCGCCATGATGTTTTGGAAAGTAACACAATGGTGTTATATTACAAAAGCAAGTGTCAGACGTCTACCCCCCCCCCCTAAATCTGCCACTGATCAGATTACTTGTTTGATGTTTTGATAGCGGAAACAGCTTTTGTACAGTGGTGCAAGTTTCATTATTATTCCTAGATATTTACAAGATGTTCTTAGTTCTTATGCCTACATAATTTCTTAAATAACAAGGACTCAAGTCTGACTTTCTCATGAAATTGGTTCGTTTAGATTTAGATATTTGAAATTGTATTGTATCATCAAGTCTTTCGTTTGAGTCACGTAAGCCGGATCCCCCTAATAGTTACCTAAACCTACTATCCTCTTCTCTTTGAAATCCCTTTTCATAGTCTAAAAAGCTAGAGAGAAAAACTGATAAGAGAAAATATTCTTTCAATTATGGCTAAAGCTATTTGATGCCTTTTGGAATAAGAGCAGAAAGATAAGTTTACGTTTGCAATTATTGTCTAAATAATTAAAAAGTATGTTATTACTTCTAAATAGATTCTGTACCTCTACTTAAGAATAAAAATCCTGAAATCGTTACTAAGTGTTGGTTTTGGCACCTAATTTTCAGATCAGAAGTATACAAGGTTTTTTGATTTTTTAAATAATAATTATCAAGTATCATTTATAGACGTATAAAGCAAATGATGCTAATGTGAGAAAGTGAAGGCTACGTGCTTTTAAAACATACTTTTAGCTACCTCTCATATATTTTTTAAAGCAATAACAAAATAAGAGTCTAATTTTGGGCACTTACCTCTACTTTCCGAGTTATAATAGAGCAATCATTTGAGACCAAACGTGTAGGTCACAATTATAATTTTGCTAATATCGAAGTTGTATGCTTTTCTGGGGTTGAATTGTGATAGGTCTGGATGTTTCACATTCACTGCAATTTCGAGAAGAACTGTATAGGACTTGTAGTTTGCAAATCTGTCTGAGGTCTTGTTTAGTATAGTATTGTGAAGATAACTGCATATAATTTTTTTGTTTCATCCATTATCTAGGGATTTAGAAATACACAAAATTGAAATGATCTGGGATAACAACAGGGATGAAATTGTAACAGTAAATAAAATCGTTAATAACACGATGAACATTTTTATGGGTAACCTGTTTGTCTGTTGATCTTAATACGTCGATTTTTCACCAAAATATTACTAAATTTTCCGCCAATAATTTGAACATTTTTGAAGGTGACATGAAATGTAATAACCGTCAAACCCTACCCAAACATGTCCATTTTCAACGAGCTCGCGAAATCTAAAATGAAGAGATAAATATTGTAAGATACTACGCTTATGGCAAAACTCTTTATTTTTGATTGTGCTGACACAGATTTTCGAATAAATTTTCCGAATATTCTCACATTTTTCGAGATATAAAGAAAAACATTCCCAACAATATTTTTAGAACATTAATTTTTTCAGCTGAGGAGAGTAATGATTTTTGTTTCTAAATATTATCAACTACCGCCATACCAAATTTCAGCCTGTTATTAATTTTCCTGAGGATTCAATGAAAATTCAACTCGAGTACCGCGCTTCATTGTTTCATGTACCGATGAAGATATTGATTAAAGAAAAGGATGAGTGTCATCAATAATGAATTACCTGATGTGTTTATATTGTCTATAACCATGAGTTTAATTGTGCTACCCGCGTAGAAGATCAAATTGCATACTGAATGCGGTCGACCTTCAATATTCGTTTTCCATATCTGAGAACAATAAACTAAATAATGTGTACATACATCATAAAAAACGTTTCTGATTCAGTTCACTCGGCGATACGTTGCGCTCAGTATGTTTCCAAACAAACGTATTATTAACGCCATCGACCGTCTAGCTCGTTCTAAATATTTTTTTAGAGATCCGATGTGTCGCAAAATATAATCAACCGCTAATAAGCAAATCGCACGTCTAATCTTACAACACAAGAAATTATTCTACGGTTGTTGAACGCTTAAGCTTGCAAGTCATTTTAATATCTCAAGTAAGCACCGAAGTACTTGTTATTCGTATCGTAAACATACTTTGAGATTAATGAAAGTGTGTCAACAAAGGATACTCAAAAAATTCGCTGTAGGTTGTTTCAAAGGTATCATCCCATTTTTGAACTTCCTAAGGTTAGTAGAACTGGGAAATGCCTCCTCTTGTAGATTGTTCCACAATTTCTATGCTCTAGGGACAAAAGTGCTGTCGTATCGGCCTCTTCTGTGTGTACGAAGCTCGAAACGGTTAGGATGGGAGGCCGGAGTGAGACGGGTCTGTCTGGCGGAGGCATCATGGAGGAGAGCTCTTAGAAGCAAAGCTCGTTGGCGTAGCGGTAGAAGAGAGCTAGATTGCCGACGGCCCGCCGCCGCCGGTGCGAAAGGGTCCCGAGACTGTCTGTTACAGAAGCATCATCGATCAGTCGGCCAGCCCTCCTCTGCACAGCATCGAGCATAAATAATGTAGATGGGGCGGCAACACCCAAAACGTGTGAGCAATACTCGAGGATAGGTCTTATCTGGGCCGTGCATAGAGTGAGAAGGTCGTGTGGAGAAAAGTACTTCTTAGCCCTAAACAAATAGCGTAGCTTTTCCCAGCAGCTGCCGCTCCGACCAACCGAAATCACCGGCTCTTTGTTAGAACTTGGCCATCCATCGCAACCCGATAAGTGCTAGGACGCTTCTTGTTCGTCAAGGTACAAAACTGTTTTTAAGCATGAAACTGTACAAGATTGTTCCGTCCTCAAGCAGTGATAGCTTGCAGGTCTCTCGTTAGATAAGAAGTCGTTGCTAGTCTTCTTTTTCCCAGCTCACCCCGAGAGATCGGCTTGTCGCTCTGAATTCCTGCATATAGAGTGCTGTCATCGGCAAATCTGTGGATTGGATTGATAGTACAGGAAAGGAGGTCGTTGATATGTAAGAGGAACAGTGTCGGAGCCAAAACCGATCCCTGGGAATACCAGCGTTGACGATGTGGAATGAAGAGGAGAACCCGTCAATTACGACGGATATCTTGCAGCCCGAGAGAAAGTCAGCCACCCATCTACAAATCTCCTCTAGGAGGCCATAGGATGAAAGTTTGTACAAGAAGGCAGCGTACCACTGCTGATCGAACGCTTTCGAGATATCAAGCGCAACGACGTGAGCCTCACCATCATAAGACTGGATGAGTTT